AATATCATTAAAATTTTTAGTCAATGTACTTTTAATTTATTTATTTTACAATTGATGTTTATTATGTGATTTCAATATCTCCTAATCTTGGAGAAGAAGCCACTGTCGATAAATATTGATGTTAAATTATATTATCTTTTAAAATACTATATTTCAATATAAAAGTATGCATAAGTTTTTAGTTTAATATCATTTTAGACTATTCTTTCAATTGTAGTTTAAGAAAACAAAGAATGTAATGAGAATAATAAAAACGGAAGAAATATAAAATATAATTGAAGTATGGAAAAAAAAATTGAATAATGATAAGCAATAATATAATAATATACTATTTATGAAGATTTGTGTTGATATACAATAAAATTAAGGATATGTTTGGTAAGTAGATATAAACTAGTTTATAACTTATTTGATTAGTTTATAAACTTCATGTATTCAAATAAGTTTTGTTTGGTACGACGAACTTTTTTAAAAAAATCGAGTTGGGTAGTTTTTCAATTAAACTCATTGAATTTTTTATTTCAACTAACTTATCACTCATTTTACCAAAAAATTTTATCATATAGGCTAGTTTTTCAGTTATACGTCATAATTTATGAGCTACAACTCAAACTCACGTAAAACCTATAAGTTAGTTTACTTATTAGCTAGGTTTACCAAACATAACCATAGAAATAGTTGTATATACACTCAATTTTTTTTTTTCATGCACACAAATAGTTTCTACCTTTGAAATATTTAATTTTATCAAAGAACCTTCCATTATTGATTTATTTATTTCACTTTAATTATCTATTTATTTATTTCAAAAATACCTTCCAATGCGTCCGGTAGAAGTCACATTCCAAAAGCCCGCGTATTTAAATTTTCCCCCAAATCTCCCGTTTTCCGCACCTCTCACCTAATTCTCTGTTTATTTTCTCTCTCCGCATATACACACAACCTATATAAACGCTCCAATAAAAGCACACTCAAACAAACAATTGAGATCTACACAATGGATATAGATGAAGGTGCGTACCCGTGCCCGAGTTTCAACAGCTATTCCTCCGGCCGATTAGCCGAAATAGCCGGGCGAGCGGCGGCGG